CGTATTCGGGATAAATTTGAAGCCGACGGTACTGTTCATGATGTGTATAAGTAAAGATCTGGGCAACCACGGATAGTAACAAGTCCAGCTTCCAGTGCTGTGGTGTTGCAACACTTTACTTTTGTTCCAAAGATATTAACTATGAAAGAGTGAGTACATTTTTTTGGACCCCACTGTATGTTGCGGGCGTTACCTTGTAACGGTCTCTGTTTACAGAGTCGCTGCTTAGCTACGGCTCTGCACGCCACAGTATGTTAGGCCACAACCACTTCCCTTCAAATTCTTTCGAATCCTTCATTCATCTTGTGAACCATTCAACGTCGTATAATCTGCTAACGTAACGCTGAGATGAAAGCTCCGAAATTGCACAATTTCGGGTCACCATAACAAATTGTCGAGCACACATTGCATGCACGTAAGCTATGTGGTACGTCACAATCGAGAGAGCAGTTTTCGTTTCAGTGTATCATGTCTATTCTGTGAGAATTTATATTTTGGTATGGATATCTGAAGTGTAGTGTATTATATAAGGGAGTAAAAAAAAGGTAAAGCTGTTCCTATAACTGGCCATGANTGTACGTCACGTAATAATTAACGGTGTTAATATCTGTATCACCTTCTGAAACATTTATCAACTCTGCATTTTATTGTGTGTTTGAGACGTCTTTCGGGGTTGCGACATCATAGAGTAATATAATTCGCTACGTCACCTTTAGAAGGGGCACGCGGTAGCGTAGTTGGTTGAGGCACTATGCAACAAGCTGGAAAGTCGCGGGTTCGAGTCCCAATGAGGTGGATTGTTTCAATTGATCTATGCCTTCCAGCCGCACTATGGCCCAGGGTCGACTCAGCCTCTAACAGAAATGAGTACCAGAAAACTTCCTGGGTGTGAAGGGCGTCCGGCGCGTAAGGCCGACAACCTTACCGCCATCTGTAAGCCGATTATCTAGAAAATATGGGAGCCTCGACGTCTCACAACCCTATGGGCCTTCACGGCCTGTTACCTTTACCCTTTACCATTTCTGTTAGAGGCTGATTCGACCCCATTACCATAGTGCGGCTGGAAGGATTAGGTCAATTGAAAAGTTCAGTGACTTCATTGGGAATCGAACCGGTAAGCTTCCGGCTTGTAGTATAGTGCCTTAACCAACTACGCTACGGCGTTCCCTGTTACATGACGGAGACGGTTTGCAGTTAATTATTTGTGGCTGTTAGTCTTGGGAGATGGTCTTGGCGTCTTGGATAACGTTTAGCACTGGAAAGGAATGCGTGAGAGAACAGGGCACGTTTAACATTATGGAAGCTTGTCTTAACGAATTATGTGACTTCCCGTTGATTTCTCAACGGGCGTTGTGCTAGCAACCCTTAAGAAAGCAGACATGATTGAATACTCGGAAGTCCACAGCATGACTAGTTTACAGTTCTTACAGGTTTCAATATACGGAGACTTTCAGGGGCCGGAAGGAAGTGATGTGACCTTTTCAAGCGCCTACTTTTACCGCTTGAGGCGGGCGGCTGCCCACAAAGCCATAACCACGTTTCACAGTGCGATTACCGCCTCCTCTACTCACTTCCGGTTAGAGGTTTCCATAGTCTGAAATGGGAGCTATGCAACTTCCGCAAATCCTTGTTCTTGCATAAGCTGCCTCTGAACTGACATCACGAAACCATGTAGTGCTTAATATTTTTTTGAATATCAACAAATACGAGAAGGGATGACATACTTTCAAGTATTGTGTGGCAGTGATGATAAAATAAGTTGCGCAAACAGGTTGCGTAGTAGAACATTGTAATATATTCTCTGCGTTGGATGATCTCTTTCAGGATTTGCTATTTCGGGGAATTTCTGTAAATAACGTGTACTTTCGTGTGAGCTGTGACGCCGTACAATTTGGTAGAAGTTTACTCGCGTGTCGGAACAAGTAGAAGAAGAGTAAACCAAGCAAGGAACTTCGATTTTGACGTTTAAAACGTTATTATACGAGGGTGCAAAGTGTAACGAAAGTAATATTTGTGCAACCTCTTACGTAACCGCTGATAGCTCAAGGCCTATGGTAAAGCTGTCCCTGTGCTCGACGAATTAAGCAGTACGCCATGAAGGCGTATGGGAGAGTGGAGGTATGGATCCACATTTTCTTGACCTCGGCACTAGATGGAGGTGAGTGGCCAGCTTCACGACCCTGCCGGGGAAACAGCCCCCGGTACCCACTGGATAGGAGGTCAGTCTGGACGATTTGGAGAACAGAAAATTCTTGACCCTACCGGGACTCGAACTCCGACCCCTCAGTCGTCCAGCCCGTAGCCAGTCGCTATACCGACTACTCTACGATGGCTCCCACTCAAGACCTATGGCGTATCTTATACAATATGTTCCGTTCAAGCCTCCCACATTTTAATTCCTAACATAGTATTCCAACAAGATGGAGACCTCCCCCCACATTGGGGTCTGGATGTTCGGAGGTTCCTCAATGCCACCTTCCAAGATCGCTGGATTGGACGTGGCTGACCAATTCCGTGGCCACCACGTTCACCAGACCTCACTCCGCTCGATTTCCTCCTCTGGGGTTACGTGAAGAACCGTGTGTTCGTGCCTCCAGTGAATGACCTCCGAGATTTGCGAGCCCGCATCCGTGAAACGATTGCTACTGTACCAATGGACATGTTTGAAAGAACGTGGCAAGAAATTGAATACAGATTGGATATTGTTTGTGATACCAATGGTGCACATGTAGAGGCATATTAGTGTGTCAAATAAAATTTTTTGAGTTCTTGTATTTTCTATAGCTTCATTTTCCTACCATTCATACTTTCTGTTCTAAGATCTGATAAATTGTGGGAGGTTTGAATGGAACATCTTATTAAAAGTTATACGTAAATGAAAGAATACTGATCTATCCAAAATTCATGTTTATTTTATTCCCAAGATAAAATTGCACATTGTTTAAACAGTTACGCAAAACATGTAATAATTTTCCTAATTTTACGGACTTTCAAACGCCTGCAACGGCTAAACCGTAGGAGATGTGTCCAGACATATTGCGAGTGAAATGCGTTAACAGATGCGGGCTTTTCAAACATCCAGTCCGTTTTGGTCCATGGCTTACGATTTAGGAATCATGACCATTTGTTTGTAGCACATACGGTTAATCCAATTCCTCCGTTTAGTGGATGACGTAATACTGTCACGTATCCCGGTACCGCTACAAGCAGTTTACGGGTTCCGGATTAGATGATTCGATGTATTGGATATTCACCAGACGGAACTACAATTAGTTATAACTCAATCTTACTGTGACTGTAACATTTTGTAACTACGAACAATGACAACACTCTAAAGGTTACTGTATTTTTTTATTGCTAGTGGGGTGGGACTAAGTCCCTTGTACTGCGGCCACTTCTGGCCTATTGTACCAGCCCCAGATGATAGGTGAGGGTGATTGTGGAGCAATTGGTGGAATGACGATTGGCAGGGGAAACCGAAGTACTCGGAGCAAACCTGCCCCAGCGCCACTTTGTCCACTACAAATCCCACTTGACCAGACCTGGGATCGAACCCGGGCCGCCGCGGTGGAAAACCAGCGACTAACCGCTTGAGCTATGGCGGGGCTCCCAAAGGTTACTGTGACTACATCGCATAAAATAAGGACTTCATTTATGAATTTTCCTTCGACTTCTATTTGTCTTCTGTCGTATTTTGTCTTTTCTCGTATTCTGTCGATTATTTCTCTCCCTGAGGTAGGTTCTGGCTTACCGAGTCGAACAGTTGATTTCTCTGTTGTGAGTATTGAGACCTACTAAGTAACTGAAGTTCTGTTGTTGAACTCGTTACCTTGCCAATGTGCTCAGCGGAGCCCCACCCACAGATGAGCAGATTGCAGCTTTCAGGCGTCATGTCACAATTCTATATGCAGGCTGCCAGCGTATTACGTCACTCACTGATAAGCTATCCACTGGAAATGCTCATGCTGCATACAGGGTGATTCACGAAGTTTTACCCCCACTTAGGGAGGGCATTCCTGAGGTAATTTGGAACAAAAAATGTTAATATACTAATGGTATCCAACTCATAATTATAGAGATACAGTAATTTGAAAACTGGCCAAAAAATCTTTTTTTCTTTGAATTTCAGTCAAAACAATTTAGAAATACAACACAAACACGTTTTAAATCGTTAATGTTTTAGGAAAGAAGCATTCTAAAACCAATTTTTTTCGATTTCTTAATTTTGCATTGTGCAACATTTTTCATCGATTTTATGTTACAAAATTACATTATTTTCAGCATCCCATTCTGTAAACATACCAATGGTTGCATCTGTTTCCTTTAAACTGTAGTGCTTTAGAAGACGACTGGATTTACATAAGATTTTCAAAAATGTTTCCCTGCACGTCAACACAATGCGTCGCACGCGTATGAACCGCTCTGCCTATCTACCTACGCGCAAAATTCAAACCGGTCTACCTTATCTGCTGACATAGCTGACTGGAACGTATGGTCGCCCACGCTGAAGCATAGCGCTGCATTCACAATGATGCGTTTCGAAAATCTATTGTTACTCCGTAACTATTGAAAATCCACCACAAGTTTATAAGGAAATTTAACAGGAAATAACCCCAGGAATATGTACCATAAGCCGGGGTAAAACTTCGTGAATCATCCTGTATATGAGACAGTACCGGAAAAGGAAGCGGTTAGAAGAGGATAATTGTAATAATGTGCCCAAACGAAGTTACGTGGCAAACGACGGCGTTTTCAACGTTAATCCCGGGAACGAAGATTCTCCAATCAGTTTTTTTTTTGCCCGGTGGATCTAATAGAGAATAAAGTATCGAGAAAGGTCGTGTCTACGCCAGTAACCTAACCTAACCTAACCTAACCTAACCTAACCTAACCTGATATGTCAAATGATGTCAATAACACGGAAATGGTTACCAACTATGAATTTAACACGCATAGCTATATCAGTGTTTGTTGCTGTATCTTCTTTGTGTGTGTTTCAGATCCGCGGACAGGAAAATGGCCCTTGATGAGCAGCCCATTCCCAACGTTAGCAATATGTCTGAGCTACATATATGTAGTAAAAGTTTTGGGTCCTAAGCTAATGGAGAATAAGAAACCTATGGAACTAAGAAAAGTCCTGATATATTACAACTTGTTTCAAGTTTTGTTCAGCGTGTGGCTTTTCATTGAGGTGAGTTTCAATAATGCTAGTATTCCTGTATTTTCCTCTCTTCATTTGATGCCTGTTGTGACGGTTGTGACGGTAAGGCTAGCCAGCTTTCGGCCGGCAAAGTTGGAGTTATTGTACGAACTGGACTGTAGTTCTTGACGGCTTACTGTAGCCGATCCTCTCACCTTTCGTTCACCCCTCCCTTCATGGTTATTTTGGTTAATATCAAAAGAAATTAATTAAAAGGAATGGGCACCAATTAGAGATGTACTCCCATAAATGTAATTAAGGGCAGGTAAACGAAATCTGGCAGGTCACGGAAACCGAGAGGTCTAAGGCATACACTGTCTTCGCTCGCTCGGAAGCCGGGATCGTGGGTTCGAATCCCACTCAGGGCATGGATATTTGTGTGCGATTTTCTGTGTTTGTGTACAGGTAGAGGCCTTGCGACGAGCTGATCACTCGCCCAAGGAGTCCTACCGAATGTGTAAGATCTAGAAAAACCGAAGTGAACGGAGAAGTTCATGGAGGTAGGCCTAGGCCCACTGGGGCTGTAGTGCCAAGGGAAAAAAGAAACGAAATCTGATTGGATGGACTTGGGATGCCTATAACATAATCTCGAGGGTCTTACGGCCAAAACTATCAGCATCGGTGGTATCAAGATTAATTTATTCACCACCAGGAGACACTATGAAACACTTACAATGAAATAAGCAAAGAAAGTACGGCACGGTTCGTAATTGTTGTACTGTTGATGACCTCAGAGTCTCGGATATTGCAACTAAATTCATTTCTGTTTATACAATTTTCACTTGAATGCCACATCAAAATGGGCAGATCACTTTCCATAATGATTTAATCTCTTTAAAATTCGATTTGAAACGTTAATGTAGTAATTCAATAGCGAAAAAGGAGCACACGCCTGTTCCCGTGACTCCGAGTGATCAGCAGCTTCGAGAGCCAGCATCAGAAAACAATGCCACAAAACAAAAACAGCTAATTTTCAGGAATACATAAGCCTCGCTCGACCGATGGGCTTCATTCAAACTGGGCAAGTGCATCATAATTGCCCTGCTACGAATTTGGTTGGCTGCCACTTAAGAAAGCCCTTTTCGAAACGTGCAACACCGTCGGCTTGGGCCGCGTCGCCGTCGAACTTCAAGTTGGAAAACTTATCGCTATACAAAGCTGTCATGGAGGCGACAGATTGGCGCCTCGATATCTCGAAATTTCCACTGAAATATCTCATTGCCAGCGCAAGTAAAAGCAATACGACGTAAAAGTCACAATCGTGGCCTAATTAATGGCGGAATATGTATTTACGTATACAGTTTATAAACAGCTTAAAATTAAATAATGACAAATAAAATAATAACGGAATTATTTAAAACGATCCCAAAGAAAACCGCGACAGTGCTCACTTATTGTTGTTCAATGCATGAGAGAGCATCATTGGATGTTCTGTTGTGTGGAGGCTTTAGCCATAGATGGCAATTGTTTGTCTTGAAGGTTCCGCCCAGTTATTGCATTTGAGGTCATTCAGAATAATGTACAGGTGCGAATTGATACATATAAAATGTACTTGGGGCGAAGAGAAGGGTCACGCGTTAGCGTAGTTGGTTGAGGCACTGTGCCAAGCGGAAGGTCCGATGAGGTTATTAATTTTTTTTTTCAATTGACCTAATCCTTCTAGCCGCACTATAGCCCTGGGATCGACTCAGCCTCTGACAGAAATGAGTACAGGAATCTTCCTGAGAGTAAAGGGCGGCCGGCCCCTAAGGCTTACAACCTTGCCGCCGCCATCTATGAGCCGATTGTTAGAAAATGTGGGATCCTCGACGTCTCACAACCCTGTGGGCCTTCACGGCCTGTTAGAGGGATAGCTTTACTTTTTTTTTTACACGAGGCGAAGAAATTGAAGGTTTAGTAGTAATGTCGAAATAATCGCTATTAGTGAGATTTAGAAGTGACAAGAAGACGTAAGAAGATGCTGGATGACCTTGGGGACAGAAGAGGATACTGTCATATGAAGGAGAAAGCTCTATAGATGGCAATAAGTGGAGGAATTGTTTTGGAAGAGACTGTGGACCTGTCGTCTGACAGATTACTGATGATGATGATGATGATGATGATGATGAGAGATTTAAAACGTATACGTAAGTGTTTAGTTTGTATGTGAGGGCATGATCAATCAATTACCGATTGTTGTACATAATAAAACTATGACAGAATGTCATAGATATGTTGATTAGTGGTGATCTGTAAAAGTAAACAAAAGTAACTAATTAACTAATTAAGCACTACGCTATGAAGGCGTATGAGGGAGTGGATGTATAGAGCCACACTTTCTTGACCTCCTCACTAGCTGGATCTGAGTGGTCAGCTTCACGTCCCGGTCGCTTTATCCCCGGTACCCATTGGATAGGACGTTGGGTGGACCCCAGAGCCGGTCTGGACGACGTGGAGAAGAGAAAATTCTTGACCCTACCAGGATTAGAACCCCGACCCCTCTGCCGTCTAACCCGTAGCCAGCCGCTATACCAACTGAGCTATCCCGGCTCTCAATGTGATCCGTATTTGAAGATAAAGACGTGAATGAAATATGTGGAGTTATTTTTTTTTTCAGCGAGGAATCACAACAGAGGTTAATATCTTATTACTAACAGTGTATTTTAATAATGTGTGTTATGATGCTCTGTTGTCAGTTGATGAACAGGGGTTAGATTTTCTTGACCCAGTTTGCTTTTATAGACAACCTTTACCAAAACGTTTCCTCTAAATAGCATACTGCTTAATGCTGCGTTGTTGTTTCGTATTAAACATCCTGCTACGATTTATTGAGCTTAGATGTTTTTGGCGAAGTTTCGTTTTAAAAATTTCCTGTTGACATTTCAACTTGCTTTGTGCTGGTCACTGATAATAATTTGGAACATTCATAACTTTATATGGCGAAAGTATTGTTTGTACTTTCGACATTTTTAAGTTGCATTTATGTAAATTAAATATATAAATTAAGGGAGGTATGAATGGTACTATGAGCCGGGATACTTCAGCCGGTATAGCGACGGGCTACGGGCTGGAAGACCGGGGTTCGATTTCCGGTAGGGATTTTTCTCTACCGCGTCCAGACCGATTCTGAGGCCCACCCAGCCTCCTATTCAATGGTTACCGGGGACCTTTTCCCCTAAGGTTAAAGCGTCCAGGGCGTGAAGCTGACCACTCTTTTCCATCTAATCCCGTGATAAAAAGTGGTGGAGCTCGTACGAGTATGTCACCATTCCCCAATACGCCTTCAACGCTTCGTGCTTAATTAATTAATCGCAGTTTAAAAATCCATTTGCTCCGCCTGTTATGAAGAGTACAGGCTTCTGGGATGTGATGCCGTGTAGGCCGGTACTGAAGTTTCGGAAGACCGTACTGCCTCCATCTTCAGAGTCGAGCATTAAGCCAAGCAAGCAGCATGCTAGAGTAAACTAGACTATGTTAGTTCTCACAGGCCAGCTTTATTGGAAAATACTCTCTGTCTCTCACCTCTCAAAGTGAAGGCTATCGCTCGTTTAGCTTATTTTTCAACCCTGAAGATAGAAGAAGTAAGTTCCTCCGAAATGTTGGTGACCTCCTACCGAACTACACAACGTCACGTGCAAGAACAGCACACAGATGCTAATTGTTTCTTTTTCCGAGCAATTTCGTTTCTGAAGTGTTATTAAATATTTTANAAAAAAAAAATATTCATAATTAGTAATACAGGGTGTTCTACTCCTGAAATAATATTCCAAGAAAATTATTTTTTCTATAATTTCTGTCTGAAAATTGTGCTGCGGCCTATACACGCACGCGGCCTATACATGCGTAAATACGGTATTCGTAACGGCTTCGCAGACAAGCTTGTTCCCACAGCAATAGGAACTCTGTTTTCTGTCCAGTCCGTGCCGAGATATAAGCAGAATAGTTAGTTAGAATCAATAATAATAATGATATCTCCCATGTGGAGGTGGGGTCAAATTCCTCCATTGTAGCCCTGCGAGTCGCAGGAGGCTACGAAAAGGGAACCCAGTGCCCGGGGGTATAGCTAGGCCACCCTGTTCCTGGGGGAGTGTCGAATCTGAGACAGTAAAATGTGGTCATGAGTCTCACGGGACTCGGGCCTGGGAATAATTGCGCTGACGAGGACCAGCAGCAACTTGAAACGATAAACCTATCCTCTCGTCAGAGGTGACGTTAGATTAAGACCATAACCACAAGTGTTCAATTGGAAAATAAAATTACTGGTCGTGAGTTCGAAGGGGCTTGTCAAGACGAACTGATTGGCGGTAAACCGCCAGTCGTAAAGTAACTCTGACTCTGACTCTGACTCTGACTCTGACACGGACTCAACATGGACCGAAAGCAGGAACGCCCTTCCAACCCCAAAGGGAGGTAACTGTAACAATAACTAGAGACCGCCGGGGAAGGACGCGCGCCCACAGAAGCAGCCCTCGGATGTGAATAATTACAATAAAAATTGTATTTGACTTAAATCTATACTTTTTACGTTTGGGTTAGTGTAAATTAAAGTTAAATTAGGTTAGGTTATGTTGTGTTACATTAAGATAAGTTGGGCTAGGTTAGGTTGCATTACTTCCTTTGACATTTGTTTAATCTGAATTAGCCAGAAATAACTGGTGTGAAAGTGTTAAAGTTAATCATTGATAACTACACGCTATTTTCTATTTTTATAAAATAGTTAGTTAGTTAGTTATTGGAGAGGGTGGGTTTCCCCATGCACTGAGACCAGTATTGGTCCATTGTGCTTCCATCTATGATATTCTAGCAGTCTCTATACCCTACCGATATTGGTGCGTACCATCAGTCCCGACCGAGCCAGGGAGTTCGGCCTCTACTGGCTTGGCGGTATCTGTAATGCTTACCCCATCTATCAGAGGCGTTAGAGACTACTGTTGGGCGGGAAATGTCCTTGAATTTAGCTCAGTGACCTTTGGAGATATGAGGTTCTTTTACGTGCCGTAAAGCTACGACACGGGACCCACGGCTTAAAGTCCCTCCCGGAGGACTTGTTCCCTGAATTTTTCCGCCCTTAAAAATTCCACGACCTCCGCCGGGTTTGAAACCGCGTACCACGAGTCATGAGGTGGGAACGTTACCTCTAGACTACGGAGGCCGCTTTTTTATAAAATATGTCATGTACATATGTATATCAAGAAGTGTGTTGCTGTTATTTTTTGAGTGTTGATAATTACAGTATCTGGTATGAGTATTAACTACTTACTCCTAAAAGAGGTTATTTACTTCTTATGTCGTGGGAGAGCAAAGAAATTTAAAGTGACGTGGATATGAGGCTGTCGACAGCAGTGACTATGAAGGGCACTATTGTCTTGGATGTGATGCCATGCAGTCAAGTAGAAGTTAATCAAAATTTTTGAGGAATTATTCAGGCAGGAAACGAGCAGAGTAAGCTGTGTGTAGAAGACAGTTATTTTGTGTAACATACTATGACTAGTAAGAGGAGATTGAATTCAGGTAATGCTTGCTACCATTCAGTCCAGAACCTTTTGTCTTGTCTGCTGTCTAAAAACATAAAAATTAGAATATACAAAACTATAATTTTACCTGTGGTTCTGTATGGGTATGAAACTTTGTGTCTGACATTAAGGGAGGAATTTAGACAGGGGGTGTTTGAGGACTGTGTGCTGAGGAGAATATTTGGACTGAAGAGAAATGAGTGACGGGAGGTTTTAATGAGGAGCTTCATAACTTGGTACGCTTCTCCAGGTATACTTAAAATGATCAAGTCAAAGAGGATGCGATGGGCAGGGCATGTAGCACGAATGGGTTAGAGGAAGAATGCATTTAGGATATTGGTGGGTAAGCCAGAAGGAAGGACACCACTGGGAAGACCAAGGCATAGTTGGGTGGACAATATTAAAATGGATCTTAGAGAGATAGGATGGGATGGGATGGTATGGATTGGATTGATCTGGCTCGGGGTACAGCCCAGTGGATGGCTCTTGTTAACATGGTAATGAACCTTTGGGTATAATAAAATGCTGGGAAGTTCTTGAGTAGGTGCACAATTGGCAGCTTCTCAAGAAGGGCTCTACTCCATGAATGAGTGATACTATGACTAGATTTTTGTTTTCATCCATTGAGCATACTTACTTTCTCCAACCCGATGAATTTGAATTTTTCAGGGCCAGAGTCTCGGAGGGTAAGCATTTTTCATTATTTAGTTAATGTTCATCACCAGATGGCCCAACATACTTTACTGCTGCTATTTTAGTTTCATAATATTCATTGGCTGTTGTTCCACATGGACTGCCAGAAGTTTAATTTAGAATTAATTGAAGTCTTAAAACTGGTATAATGCCGGTTTATTTTCTTTGTGGTTCCGATCTAGAACATTATTCAGTTTTGTTGCATTATTTTAATGTATTATGTATAGTTTTATATATTATAGTTATGTCCATATTGATTTAATTTAGTCTTCCCTTTCCCCTACCTGTGGACATTGCCCTCACATCTGCCATATAACTTCACCCTCCAATATAAATGATAAAGACTAACTCATTTTCTTTTCTTGTATGCTTTTTTTGCCTTCCTTATCACCAGGGCTTGGATTTTGATGACATGTCATCTTTTTTTCCTTGTATCCTATGCGATGCTCTTAAATATATAAATCTCGGATATGAGCTGCTGGTTACAGGAATGTAAATTTTATGGGTAATGTTTGTCATTTTTTGACATTTTTAGGTTTAAGATCATTTTTTCATTTTGGGGGTAATTTTTTGGTAAAATTTTGGATTTTTAAGGGTATTTCTTGTCATTTTTGGCCATTTTAGGGAATTTTTCTTCATATGTTTTCTGAAATGTGAATAACATGGAAGGTCATTTCTCTGGATTTTTTCGGTCATATTATAGGTCATTTTTTTAATATTTTCAGGTCATCAAAATCCGGCCCATGCATATTACATTTTTTGGGTCATATTTTAGGTCATTTTCTAGATTTTTTCGGTCATTTTATAGGTCATTTTTTTAATATTTTCAGGTCATCAAAATCCGGGCTCTGCTTATCACTTACTTGTGTTTACTTTCTTGTGATCAGTGACTTAAAAGGGAAGAGACCTAAACATTAAGTTTCCATACTCTGTGATTGCTGATATGAGAACTGAAGTCCCAGACTGAAAGCCTGAGAATGTGATAATTTGCTGCCTCCTCAGTGCTACCCCACACCTCAGGAGACAGTGATAAATGAGTAACTGGGGAAAACCAAAGAAACTCAGAGGAAAACTTGCTCCAGTGTTACACTGTCCACCATTTATGTCACATGAAGTTCCCCAGGTTCTGCTGTGGGAAGCCATTATATAAGCACCGAAGTTATGGCACAGATATGTGATGTATTTATGACATAGTTATTTAGAAGGAAGTTAAAACTGGTAATTATTGTCAAATTCAAGAAATACATATGAAAGTTAAAGTTTCTGGTTAGGACTTTTAGATATAGCAGTGCTTTGTGATTCTTGGAGTAAAGAAAAGTGACATATGATTTTGTGTAGTAAAATAAAACTGTTATTTGGAATACGCTTCTTAAAATTCCCAGTAAAGTTCATCTTATTCATGTCTGTTCACCTGCATCTCAGTCTGCAGTAATGATGATGTATTCTCCTTTGTCACCTGGTAGCAATATCTGAGGCAGGCTGACAAAATATAGTCCATAGGGTTGTGGTTTGTATTTTCATGTTGCCCACTTCATTTTAGGTTACAAAGGACTCATTGCAATCGTTTGAACAGTATAGTCGTTAATGTGACTTCGCAGAATATTGTATAACCGTGTGTGTAAATGGCCAGTACTTGCTATTCCATCATTATGTTTGTTTGTTTGTTAACTGTGAGATTTGTGGTACTTACGATTGGGAGCAGAAAATGGCAATAATAATGGCAGTGGAAGGAAGTTTTGAATTGGTATTTCACTGTTCACCTTGACTAATGGAAGCTCCTCTGAGTAGTATCACCACTTAATGCACATTGTTTTTCTATCAAGTTTAATATCTAAATTTGTATGTAGATGGTTTTCCAGAACGTTTCAAGTTCATAGGATATATGTTCAAAGAAACAATGATATCAGAGTGTCTTTCAAGTAGATCACGGCAAAATAAGTACAGTGTAAATAGTTCCTCACTTTAAGTGAATATTAGATATACAAATGTACAGTAAATTAAATAAATTTTAATGTTCTTTTTTTTTCTGTCATGTTATACTTGCTTAGCTGTTAGGCATAAACTGTTGATACTGCTAATAATTAAAGTTCAGTATTGGAAGAGAAAATTCAATGAACAGTTGAAGTGAGAAAACCATCAGGTTTCTTCATCACAGAAGATTGTATTTACACCAGTCAGAACTTTGTACTTTGTACTGTGAATGATCTGTGGAATGTAAATAAATTCATCTGTGAGACTTTGCATGTAAACACCGCATTATTCAACAATTACAGAACATTATGTTAGGTGTAATAATCACCAGCTGCTGTCCTCTGTTTGTTAAAATGGTCATGTAACAGACACTGAATGGTTTTGATATCACTTACTTATTTTGTTTCGTACTGAAGAAAATTGTTCTTGCTGTGTCATTGCAGATAGGCATGTCAGGATGGCTGACTGGTCGTTACAGTTTACGCTGCGAGCCAGTTGACTACTCCAGCCACCCAGTCACAATTAGGGTGAGTTCAGAAAAGCTGTTCTGTTTGTTATAATACTACAATAATTATTGCATCACCTTCTGTTAGATGTTGGTGCATCAGGTTTAATAATAATTTGTATGTGCCTTTAAGTATTGCATTCAGACATCATAAATGTATTGAAACAAAGTGGAAAAGAATACTTAGCTATCAAAACAGAGAAAAAGTGGGCTGTTTCAGGAAACTGACAAATTATGTTAAATATATGTATAGATTTATTAAAATAATGGGTCTCAAAAAACAGGTGCATTTAATTCCCACATTTGATGACTAGAATTTATATGTAGTTCCCATAATACATGGTGCTAGTATATACACCCATTATCTAGATGGAAGATGCAAGATGATGTAATTTACCATATTTTTATTCTTATAGTAATTTTCTTTTGTCTTCATCATCACTTGTTTACTTTTACTTCCATGTGATGTTTGGCTAACAAGAGAAGAGGCTTAAAAACCTAAAAAAATTCCTTACTTTATGATTACTCATGTCAGAGATGAAGCCTAAGACTAAGAATGTGGTTATTTACTGCCTGGTTAAGGCTGTTGGAAACCTCAAGAAGTGCTGATGGATGAGTGGTGGAGTGATAAGTAGCAGTGGAAACTCAAATGCACTCATGAAAGACCTGCTTCAGTGCCACTTTGATCACCTTGAATCTAACATGTTAGCCAATTTTTGTTACAAGAATCCAACATGTAACCACCTGAGCTATAACACAGATTAATGACATAATTAAACATGCGTCTGTGTAGAAGTTATATACACAATTATACCTTTAAGTCTACTATTGTCTGAGATGTGACACCCAGTAATCTGGTAGACATTTGTTGACTAAGTATATTATTAAGAAATAATGAATTCAAAATTTAATACTTTGAAAATAATACTGTGTATTTTCACAAATGTCATCAGAATTAGCAATTGGAACTCCTCATAATCGTCCTCTTTATATTGTGACGTGCTGTCTAAAAGCTGGACTATGGAGCATATTTCAGTGTTTGTTGCTGGTCATGTCATGTCACATGAAGGCGACATGAGAAAATTGTGGATCCCAAAATAAACTGGCCGTCGCCCGCAGAAGGACGACCTGCTGTGCCAGAGTGGCATGGCGCAAGAGGTACATAGCCAGAAAAGTTTGTACCAGGCCCAGTGTGGTACAAGAAATCAGGAGAGTACAGACATTCGGGAGGAGACGTCAGCCGAAACTGGAATGCAGCAAGGGCATAAGGAGCCGAGCTGTAGAAGAACCGCTACATCCGAGGAAAGGAAGGAAAACTGCGAACAGTATTGGAGGATGGAGCAGAAGGCAGCAGCCACAACTGGAAAAGAAAGAATCTAACGGGACATACAGGAAGATGACTGGATAGGAGATCAAGAAACGAATAGTCGGATCTTCTGTTGGTCTACGACAAAACAAGGATTGGACCTTGTGGAGGGGTCGATGACCTCCAAAACGAAAAAGAAGAAGAAATAGCACATTCCATTTAAAATGGCCATTATTCTTATGCCAGTATATTGTTGCAGATAAAAGTATATTGTGGTGAGAGAACGTGCCCCTTCTTGAAGGATGGGGGCAGAAAATTTGCTTGCATATTTATGTTGAGACCATTTGTGACTATTTTACTGATCACCCTGAGGTATTCAGAATAGAAGAATAAGATGACTTTAATACTTTTAATTTATAGTATTTGTATTTCATACATTTCATCAGTTTTGATTTCTTACAAAATTGTGGGGGAGGCAGATGGCCAGGTTGTCCCTCCTGTCAACCCCCATGTATAGGTACAACATTTAAATTGTTAAATTCTGAATGCGTTAGTTAAAATTCACGGCCGAATATCTTGCTCGGCTTCTATACAGTGTCCATATTCTGTGTTTGAAAACAATACTCTTCCTCTGAAAATTAGAAATCGGAAATTAAGAGAGGATTAACAGTAACAAAGAGTACAGTGTTGTATTTTGTAGTGAAGTCAACATGAGTTCATAATAATAATGTAGATTCCTAATATGCCAGTAAAGCTGCGTGTTGGAATTGACGCGTACTTGGATGGTGTTTCCCACTTAAATTTAAATTCTCATGGCAGTGAATATAGGATCTTCTGGGATATGACTTCATGTAGTCTGGTAAGAGTTTGCTTAAGTTTTAGAGGAATGTATTCCCTGCATCTTGAGGATCAGAAAGTGAGTCAATTGAACAAACAAACAGGCAGAAAATGACAACGCTGTTTACATATCAACACTGATGATAGAAGAGGTACATTCCCCTAAAACATCAGTGAACTACAGCCAGACTACATGACATAGAAGGTATCTTTGTATCTTATTGACTTCAATTTTATTTGAATTGTCAAGATTATTGGCTGTGGCCTCATTTCTGTAATTTTATTTCTTATACTTGTCTTAGTTCTTATTTCTCTCTGTTGAATTATTTGTCACATTGCAGTTTAATAAATAAGCTCATTGGTGCTGAAAACTTATTACACAATATTGATGTGTGTCTGAAGCATCTTTGGAAGTACATCATTGTCAAATAGTGGCATGGATAGTTACATCATAATTACAGAATTACAAAATTTTATTTTCAAATTATGATGGGCACCAAAATCGCCACAGTGGAGACTTTTTTGAACACACAGGACCATGTCGTTGCCTGTTCAAGGTATGATATTATGTAGTTCAGTCTCTTACTAAGTGATCTTCCTATTGGCGTCTTTTGCCATTCATACCAAGAAGTCGCAGAAGTTATGAATGATACATTTACAAACTTTCAGTAATAGTGTTACTCTTTATTCTCAGACTGTATCACATTTTTTAAGTATGTACAAAAAAATCAGATGGTGGTGAAAATGTTAAAATGGAGCCTCACTATGATTGCTGCCAAGAGAAGTATTTAGTCAATTGTATATTGATTTGCTCAAGAATGTACTATAGCCTCACACCCAAAAATGCAAATGTCTGGCATATGAAATGGCTACAGGCAATTCAGTTTCATGCCCTGAAACGAGGAAGGAAAACAGATTTCAAATTCCCAGTTCACAGATGGAACTATGATAGTTAACCTAGACAGGACTGCCACATCCACAATTCAAAAACCACAGAAGAGGGATCTAAACATGCCAGAAAGTGAACTAGTCCAGAAAATGTGTAACAGTTACCACCTGCTGTGTTGTAAGTTCCAGTGATAATGTTCCCAAGGTTTGTTAAGCAACATGTGACCAAGGATGTTCCAGCTGGGACCCATAATCTGGCCACATCATTAGAGTGGATGAAATCTGAGCTGTCCATACAGATTTTGCTCATTTTCTTCACCGCATGAACAGCTCAGAGGAATGTCCAAGTTTACTACTTTCAACAACCATGGTAGTCACCTCTCAGTAGAAGTAATTGATCTGGAAAGGGGAGTGGGTTGATATAATCAATTTTCCTCCCTACTGCACCCACAAGTTGCAGTTCCTTGATGTTGAGGTATGTAAGGCATTTGGAACATATCACAGTGCTGCAGCTGATACAGCATCCAGACAAACATCAGTATATCAGATTAGTCATATAGTGAACATCACACACCAAAGGAGATTATCTTCAGAAAAGAAAATATTTGAATGTTGGAAATCTGGAATTCCCACTCGTGACAGACATGTATTCACAGACGAAGATTCCTTGGCAGTTATGTCACTGGTCAGTTTTTTGCTGAACAAGCCACCGGCGATGCAGAAAGGTCAGCAAGTGCACTGGTAAGCACAGGTGTGGAAGCCCCTGACAGTGATGCTGCAGATGTAACTGGCCTAACACTTCAAAATTTAGAACAAGTGATTGCAGTAAATGAGAGCTCTCTGCATCATAGGCTCTTTTGTCAGCCCATATACAGAACCACTCTTAGCTCACAGCTCAGAATATAAAAGCCCCAAACTTTTTGGGAGATATCCAAAAGCAGGTGAGTGTAAATGCCGAAATTTTTGTTGAAAAAGAAGCATAGTTGCTACAAGCATCTAAGAGAAGAATGCTCTAGTGGAAAAGGAAGGACTCTTAAAAGGGAAATGACCAAAAATGTCACTTTTCAAGGAAAGTAAATATAATTGTGAGGCTCAGGAAAGTGAAACAGAAATGTTGATTCTAATGATGTTGGGCAGTTTTCTGGAGGAAATGCTAAAAGCAGTTCTGAAGAATTAGAATGAAAATCTTTGGAAGAGAATTTTGTCCTGATTCAGTGTGATATTCCTGGAAGAATACAGTGTTTTGTACGTTGAAAAAATGGTATGCTTGAAAGACGATTGATGGCTGCGACATCCATTTCCTTACCAGGAGCAAAAAGATCCATGATACATTCATAAAATCCGAAATTGAGGACAGAGTAATGTGTCCAGGAAAAGAAGATACAAATGATTTTCCCAAAGCCATTATTCTGTGGACAGACTAAGAGGTAGAAAAAGTTACTCTTCTATTTGTGTTTATTTTTCCCTTATCAACTTGAAGTAAAAACACAGTTAAGACAGACTTATACTTGATCAGTTGTCCGGAGTTCTTTTATTATCATGTTGTTATGAAAATTGTTAGAATGAAAGGAATGTTAAGATTCCTAGCAGGTGGATCATGTAGTGCTTGAATAGGATATTAGCATTTTTAAAGTTACGTTTCCATTATTGAAAATAGTGTTTGTGGTTTAGAACTCTTCAAGTCCAAAGCCTTATATTGGTGTCCTATAAAACCTGATCCAAACTATAAATTGGTTAGAAATTTTATATAGAATCATGTTTCATTGTACCCCAACATCTGTGCCATTGGTTCTCACCAGCGGTTAAAAATGAAACATGATTTCTTATGAAACATACTGTGAACTTATGAGAACACAATTGTACCAAAATATTAACAGTATATTACGCTTAATACAAAACAAAATTATTTCAACAAAATATATTGCATATAATTAAGGATTTATTAATGAATTCCTTTGTTGTACCCCATGTTCCCATATAGATACTGTCTATCAAAAATTTTAAAATGGCTGTCTTGGCACTGGAGAATAATTTCCTATGGAAGTGCTACATATGAAATATCTTGCATGGTCAAACATAATTTAACAGTCTCCAATAAGCCTTATATAAATGTGTGTGTCAGTTTTATGGCATGGTTATTATACCATATTGGCATTTTAATTCATTGTACAAGATATAGTACTGATGAATTGCTTCCTGTCTCATCCATGCCTTCTAAAGGACAGACTTCATTAGGTATGTAAAGGTTTACAAATTACAACACGATTCTGAAAAGTACAGAAAGATAAACTACTTAGGAATACATGGATGAGTTTTTTATTTTGATGAGCTAATTAAATATTTAGTTTATCTCTAGTCATGTATTTATACACTCAGTGCACAGGATTTTCCCATCCCTCACGTGATATACACAGTGGTTCTGAATGTTGTTGTGACATTTTAAACTAAACCCCATCAAAAGTACCCATGACCATGGAGTGGAAAATGCATCCTAGCAACAGTTCTTACCAACAAAGGGAAAACTTCGGTTCCAGCATCCATTTCACATCCCAGAGCAATAACTGTGTGTGACAGTAGACATAATACTATATTTGAGCACAGTGAAACCTGTCTATGTTGGCCACTTGTGGTGCTGCTCAAGCACTGCCAACCTAGGCAGGTTTCCAACTTGCGGATAATAGTGTTAAAATTTTACATTTTTATGTATGTAGTGACTACATACTTAGCTTTGTTGTGCTACTTTACTAACCTTTGCAATATTGTTTATTCTTTGTGTGACCTGTGACTGCTCAGCAGATGGTATACTTTTTTTTAATGCTAGTGGGGTGGGACTAAGTCCCTTGTACTGTGCCCACTTTTGGCCTATTGTACCAGACCCAGATGATAGGTGAGGGTGATGGTGGAGAAATTGGTGGAATGAGGATTGGCAGGGGAAACCAAAGTACTTGGAGAAAACCTGCCCCAGCGCCATTTTGTCCACCACAAATCCCACTTTACCAGACTCGAGATCGAACCCGGGCCGCCGCGGTGGGAAGCCAGTGACTAACTGCTTGAGCTATGGCGCGGCTTAAATGGTATACTTAGTATGAAATCTGTTTCTCTGAAGTTAATTTAGAAGGGATATTTTTATTTATGAAGTTCAATGATCAAACAAAAGTGAAAGATACAGCAGGTTTATGGAAACCAAATAACAAGAGGATGCACCAGATAGTGAATTGTTAACTATCAGTCACAAATACGATATAGTTGTAAGGGTTATAGCAGGAACTTGCAGCAGCCAGGTAAGTGGAAATCTTTTCGGGTGTACATAATGGTACAGAAAAAGTTGTAACTTTTCTGTTTTCTGTATTGTCGACATAGAAAGGTTAAAATATCTCTAGAACCATACCATGAAATACTAAAATGTGAAAAGGATACCAGATAGGCAGGTGGCCAAGTTCCAGTTGGTTGGTCATGTGTAATATGATTTTGCCAGCTCCATAAAAATAGCTGCTACATGCAGAGTGCTACTTAATTCTTTAGCTTATTCTTCTGTCCTGAAGATGGAAGCTGTTCATTCCTCCAAAATGTTGGGGAACTTCCAGACTACAGACTATCAAATCCCAGGAGACAATGTTCATTAACTTCTGTGTTAAACATTTTCCACTCCATGTTCATTATGCTGTACAAACTCACTATGCCCCCATGCTGAATAAGAAAGTATGCTATTCAGATTCTAACATATTTTCCTCACCTCAACACAGAATCCATGCATAATGTATAGTAGGAAAAACGTCAGTCATGACCTCTTTCTCCCAAATAACGCAGTGTAGAATAAAGCTGTGAAGACAGAATGTATTCCTTTTCATAATTCATAATTTATTTAACATCCATGAACTGTTAACAGGAGTACAGTTGGACAAGTCAGCTAAAACAATCTAAGCACTACAAGTCAACAACTCTTAAAAATGTACAAAGAAGATACACAAGACAAAGAACAATACAATTATCTTAGGATTATCGTCCTCCCTACTGTTGCTTAGCAACTGGAGAGGTACCGCTGGGAAAATTGTCAGTTTGCTGTTACATGCAAGGATTCAAGTTCAAGTCAGTGCTACCAGAGAAACCTATATCAGTTCTTAGGCACTAGCCACCACTTGTGCAGTCCTGGATAACAGCTCACATTGTTACTTCTTCACTACAAGGAAAAGAAGGGCCTTTGTGCGCTTTGCTCAGGTTATGGTTGCTGTCCTTGTCAGTATCACAGTGTTTACAGTGGAACCTGCACTTAATGTTCCCACATATATATCTTTATGGATTAGTGCTTAATTATTTAAGCATAGCAACAACTTTACCTTCTTTACCATTATGCATTTAGTGTTCAATATCAGTGTCCCTCAGTGTTAAATTTCCTCCATTTAAAACTTTCTTTGGTTTACTGTTCAAATTCACTGCTCCCCAAAGAAATCTTAAAATAGATGTTTTGCTGTAATAGCTAAAACTTTAAAGAAGGAATGAGACTCAAATTAAGAAATTGAAGTTTACTCATTCAAAATGAGAAGATTTGGAATGGGTATTCAAATGACATATAAAAATTCTAATAGAATGCTTGCATATCACTTTTAACTGATATGCATAATTGGTAAAGGTACAGAGTACATTTTATAATACCTTTGGATGTACTGTACTGTATCTGCAATATGAAACAGGAAACAGAGTAGCTACATTTTTATATACATAGATGAAGATGCATTTGGTTTATGTTCTTATTGTAGCGAATATTAATCAACAGAACACAGTGAAATGTACAGAATTAATCACAGGAGAAATGTACTTTTTTTTCCATTTGCAGATGTATAATGTTCATGTGGGACTATCATTTTGTGTCCAATCATTGTAGCACATCATATGACTGCATTCCCTTCTTCCATATCACTTAAAATAATTTATATTTGCTGTTTGTATCCTGTTGTTTCTCATGATTTGTAATACTCTGACCTCAACACAACAAATATTTCAAAATAAATCAATCTAATTGTTTGCATAGGTTTTATTTAATTATTGCCATATGTTGGTTGGTTTCCAATGGATGCATTTGGGATCATGTAACCCATTTTGCTTCTTGCTTCCCAATAGACAGCACTGAAGTATCTTTTGGGAAGCTTTGTTGCTCACTTTGCACTACCCAGGGGTCATGTATGACTTAAAGAATGTCACGGATGTAAGCAACTTTGTCCCCCTAATTGCCATACGTTTCAGTCTATATTTTGGACCATCCTGAAGAAGTTTCATTAAATACATTTCTTGTTATTCGAATATTCTAATATGGATCTATATTACTGTTAAATCATTATAATCATCATAATACATGTAATTATTACTAAAATTGTAAAAATATATAAAATTTTTAAAAATTCTGTCATTCCAACATGGACTCAGTCCACAATGAAGCCAAGAACTGGAACAACACAAAAACAAATGTCCACACGATGAGAAATACACAGCACACTCTAAAGGGAGCAAAAAGACTTGATGACGATGTCACATTCAAGAAGGCAGGAAGAAACACGTATACAGACTAAAGAACTAATAATAATTATATGCAAATAATACAAAACCATACAAAACACTACAGTGGACCTTGGAAGCTAAACACCACCTACATTACATGACATATAACACAGAATTTTATGTCATAATGATGAGAGAATTTTTAAAAATTTAAAATATTTTTACAATTTTAGTAATAATTAGATGTCTTAAGATGATTATATTGATTTAACACTAATATGGATGCATATTATGATATTTCAATAACATGAGACATTTGTAATGAAACTGCCTGAGGATGGTCCAAAATATAGATTGAAGCATAAAGCAGATATTAATTAAAACCAATGTAAACAACTAGATTGGTTTATTTTGAATTTTTTGTTATGTCAACGACCAGTTTTGAACAAAGATGTATGCATGCTTCATACATTGTAATAAATGCGTTCTATGCGGTACAGTTCCAGAAATGAAAAAAGTGTTTTTATAATAATAATATTGTATTATTTTTAATTTGCTAGCGTAGAGGAATTATATATAAATGTGACACTGTTTGGAGTATACTATGTGGTATCTAACACAATGAAAAATCAATTTATTTGTATTAATGTCACCAAAGTATAATTTTAAAAATATGTTTCGGAAGGAGTTATTTGTTATTTATGTTAAATTTGTAAGTAATATTGTTTTATGATTAATTTACAGACGGTACATGCATGTTGGTGGTACTATTTCTCGAAATTTACTGAATTTTTTGATACAGTAAGTATGCTACATAATACAGTCATCTGAGATATCATGTCATGTATTCTGATAGAACTTCTATCAGACTACACCACATCTCATTCCTGAAGATATTATTCCTCTTATTTTACTGTCTAAATGTTATTTATAGCCCTCGGAACTATTAAATCCCTTCTTGTTATGTTACAGATTTTCTTTGTACTTAGGAAAAAGAATGAACATGTATCTACACTTCATGTTATCCATCATGGGGTTATGCCTATGAGTGTTTGGTTTGGAGTAAAATTCACTCCAGGTTGGTACAGAATTCATTCATGTAGTCCAAGGTAAATTTTACATGTTTTGTTGCCCCTGTATGATGTAATAATTTTTCTACGACATAATTTCATGGTAATGTGTGTTCATTTAACTCATATGTTCCTTGTTGTGCAAAAAACAGAGTATTCAACCATTATATGATATGGTGTAATTGTCTTAGAAAGGTGACTGCAAAGGGACCAGATTCTTGAATGTATCAAGATTATGATGCAGTTTTAAAATGTTTTCTGTATTGCCTGAGTTTGAGCTGAAGCACTTCAAATCTCATTATATTTTCTACTGAATTAATGTTGGTTATTATATATTTTCTTCTTTTCTTTGAATTTTTAGTATATGAATGTGATGAAAAATCTTCATTTAGGTAAAAAAAAGGTCTTAATCATTTTCCTTAGGTTTTTGAACCTTTAGTTCAATGTCCAGCTTTTGAGAATGTACCATGTAGCATGTTGAAAGTTTTCCTGTGTTTCAACATGCGGTTGCCATCTTCGAGGTTTATATCTTTAGGGGAGCTGAAACATTTGTCACTATCTCTTTTCACATACTACATGATTGCACGCTGTTGGATAGCACCTTGCTTCTCTACTTCATGTCTGACTAAACTGCCCACTTTGAGATGTATGTAAAGGCTTTGAAAAACTTCTCAAGGCTCAAACCTTGAAGATGGCAACTACAATGTTTTCCAAAAACAGAAAACCTCCATCATTCTACATGGTGTTCTCCTGAAATATGAAGTCATGTGGGAAGTCCAAAGTTTCCTATAATTCAAGTCCCAATTTGATTTAGTTCTTAGATTCAGATGTATGTGGCAGGCAAGGTTTTCCAGACCGATATCAGAAGTAAGCTATGTGAACATGTTTAATTTGGCAGTTGTTCAGGTTCTGGCCATCTTGTTTGTGACATTGTGCAGTCTTATAACTGGATACAATAATTTCAGAAGAACATGTTGCTTCCATCTTCAGGGTTAAAGTGAGCAGTGTAAGGATGCAGTTAGGTTATGTCAGCAGGTTTGAAGGAAAGTGGTCACTCAGACCCAGTGAAAGGACAGAGGAAATACTTAGAAATATTACCAACAGATGTCAGGTTTTTGGGAAATTGGCAGACTGAAATAAAATGGCTGAGGTTACTACTGCACATAGAAGCCTAAGACAGGAATGACATTTGATGTCCTCATGGCTGTGAGTATTAAGATTTTGATCTTCTGTAATGTGACACCATGTAGTCTGGTAGAGAGAAGCCAATGTTCCAGAGGAACCTGCCCACTCCATCAGTAGGAAGCCTCTTACACTTTTTCTTTCTTTCTTTCTTTCTTTCTTTCTTTCTTTCTTTCTTTCTTTCTTTCTTTCTTTTCTTCTCTGATAAAACAATCCTTTGTAAGTCTACTGGTGACGGTCGCGCCATAGCTCAAGCTATTAGTTGCTGGCTTCCCACCACGGTGGCCTTGGTTCGATCCCAGGGATGGTCAAGTGTAATTTGTGGTGGACAAAGTGGCGCTGGGGCAGGTTTTCTCTGAGCACTTTGGTTTTCCCTGCCAATCTTCGTTCCACCAATTGCTCCAGAATCACCCTCACCTATCATCTGGGGCTGGTACAATAGGCCAGAAGTGGCCGCAGTACAAGGGACTTACTCCTAGCCCACTAGCAATTAAAAAACAGTACTGGTGTCTTCTTTTTTCCCCGCTTGATTCATGCTTCTATCCTGAAGATGGAGGCATTCAGTTCCTCAAAAATGTTCATCTATTTATCAACTGCATAGTATCACATCCCAGAAGACTGTAATCTTAGTTTGAAAGATATTTCATGTGTGTGTACTCCTTGATTTCCAGGAGGCCATAGTACTTTCTTTGGACTCATCAACACATTTGTACATATTGTAATGTACACATATTATCTTTTGTCTGCACTGGGACCACACTACCAAAAGTACCTGTGGTGGAAGAAGTACCTCACTACGTTCCAGATGGTTAGTTGCTAGTGAATTAATAATGTGTGATTTCTTCAAACATAAAGTACTTTAATTTCGTACATATATATTATCGGGAGTCAGCATAGCAACAGCCTATGGGCTGGATGGCTGGGATTCAATTCCTGGCAGTGCAAGATTCTTCTCATCTCCACAGCATCCAGCTCACTCACCCAGCCTCCTATCTAACAGATACCAGGAGCACCTTCCCCTCCATTAAAGTGGCAGAACTTCTCACTTCTGTCTAGTGCCAAGGTCAAGAAAGTTGGAGCTATACCTCCACTCCCCCATATGTCTTCATGGCATAGTCCTTAATTAATTAAGTACAGGTATAACTTTACCTTTTACATATATATTACCATCTTAAATGCAGTTTTTATTTTCTGCATTATGTATATATATATGTGTGTGTGTGTGTTTATGTGTTTTATCTTATTACATGTTTTTGCTATATATGACCACCTTCAGGTATATATGAGTTCTGCTAAAGTTTTTTCACTGTATGCTCTCTTTTGTGTCACACATCTCTAATTTATTTAGTGAATTTTTTTAATTATTTGTTTGTAGAAATAATTAAAAGTCTTTTAAAGGTGCATTAGAATATGTCCATTAAAATTCTATTGTGCTGCATTTGGTTATCTGTAATATGCAAAGAAATGTACAGAATTATGTTATTTGTTAATGAAACAGGATGCTTAAGCACAACATTATAAAGTATTTTTAAGCTGCAGACTCTGAATACCACTTATTCTATTCTCCACAATGATTTTATTTTTTGTAATTGGTGAGCAAGGACAATTCATGTTTTAACGGTTCCATCCAATAATTATTCTCTGAGCAAACGAACTGAACAAACAGTGTGTGTGATTATTTTAAAATTAATTTTAATCATACAACATTTATTAGTGTTGTTCTGTTTAATAGAATGTAGATGACTATGTCATGGTGTTACAATTTATGTCAGTTTATGCCCTTTAAACTTTATAGGTTATGTAGAGTAATGTTTCCTTACGTATTCCCTCATTTCTCATGGGATGGGTGGGATGTGGACTGGATTAATCTGGCTTATGATTAGGGTCCAGTGGCAGATTCTTATGAGTGTGGCATGAACTCTTGGTCCCCAAACACACAGAATTTTTCAACCAGCTGGATGACTCTTAGCTTCTCAAGTAAGGACTTTGCTCCCATGGAGTTAGCTATTTTGTAACCCTAACCTTACCACGAATAGCATATATGTTTAATTTTAGTAGTTAGAAGTGAAGTAATTGAATCCATGTTAAACATTTATAATTACATGAGTATCATTATCATTCACTTTTCTGTTTCTTTCGGGCTTGAAGGAAGCTTATTTAAATCAAAACTTGCAGTAAACTTTCCATTATATGGCTTGTAGAGGAAATGGGGTGTGCCAGCTACATGAGGAAAATGCATACAGAAACCCAATAAAAAGTCAAAACACATTTCTATGCTTAGTTTTTGCATAGAAGTCTTCCTAGGTGACATAGTGGGCTGTTAGGAGAAAAATTTGGGATACACATACCATAATGTGATCACAAATTCAACTAGCCATTGTAAGGACACTTGCATCATGTAGGCTGATGAATATCACAGGTGGTGGTGGCTGGGAGAACTATGGCATGGTGGCTAAACATGGTTTATTTTTTAATAACTTAATTAAAATGGTAAATTGTCTTTAAAGTTTTTGTTGGTTGGAAGATATTTTTGGGTGCTTTGATATCAGATAACAAGGAGTCACTCCTACATATATTTTTGTGGTGCAGTACTTACTTAATTAAGCAAAGGGACAACTTTACCTTTTTTACCTTTATTGTATTTAGTCCCCCATGAATCTTGAGAAGTACTTGGGAATTTAGTTGTGTGATTTCCATAAATTATATGTCTTAATTCTCTTCACAGGTCCAGTTTGTTGTGATTATGGTACATGCATTCCAACTGCTGTTCACTGAATGCAACTATCCACGTGCATTTGTATGGTTCATTGGCATGCATGCTGTTATGTTCTTCTTCCTCTTCAATGAATTCTACAAACAGGCTTACCAAAAGAAGAGGAGAATAAGTGTTGTGAAGACTAGAGTTGAAAAGGTATGTTCAAAACAGTACAGCAAAAACAAACTTCATTCAGTATTTTTATGTTGGAACACAGTCTTTATTATGAATAAACTGTGTTGGTTGTACATTGAGAAGCCAACTTATAAGAAGGTGGGATCCTGTCATTCTAATGCAGACAGACAGTATGTTATTTACATGCTGAAGATATCACAGTGACTGTGCAATGAAGTCTTTGTGGATGACCAGCCATGTCAATATGGAGGTAGCATGGATTGTTTTGGAGGCTGTCTCCATCTCCGTGAATGGGACTGCATCCGAGTATGCTATCGGCTGTCCCAATGGATAGTGCCAAGGGTACAGCTGTCACTGTGGGAGGGGGAGGGGGCAGAACCAGATCGTCAGTCTTCGTGATCCATGTTGCTTGTCATTGGTCCAGTAACAAGCAAAATGGACTATCATGACTGTCTCCCTGACTCTGCTCTCTGATCCCACAGTGGTCCATGATGGGACAGCCAAGAGTATACTCCGTGAATTTTAAATAAACATGTGAAGATGACAGCTGTTCCTTCAAACCCTGTTGATGGAGACAGAATCAGTCCCCAAAATGATTGATATAGTGTTCATATGGACATGGCTGGGGGGCACTCGGGAGCATAGTTGGTTGAAGCACTATGCTACAAGCCGGAAGGTCACGGGTTCAAGTCCCGATGAAGTCATTGGATTTTTTTCAGTTGACCTAATCTTTCCAGCCACACTATGGCCCTGGGGTCAACTCAGCCTCTAACAGAAATGAGTATCAGGAATATTCATTTGAATGTTCTTGGGGGTAAAGGGCGGCCGGTGCGTATGGCTGAAAACCTTGCCGCCACGTATGAGCCGACGGTCTAGAAAATGTGGGAACCTCAACATCTCCAACACTATGGGCCTCCACGGCCTGTTACAGGGATACCTTTACTTTTACTTTACTTTTATGGACATGGCTCATCACTTAAGAAGAATTCATTCCAGACAGTATATTGAAAATTAACCCCATTGCTGCAGTATTTAACCAACAGTGAACAAGCATCCATTACATTATAGTGTAGTGTTTGAATTTAGTTCACGTCAAGAAATAGTCTTCTCCTTTTGCTGCATCATTTGACTTCAATTACTGGGCTATGAAAATGAATTTCTGTTGCACATTTTTCATATTTGTGCCATGAAATTACATTATTTTAGGAAAGTTTTAAGAAAATAATGTGCAATGGAGGAGTTAAAAGGGTTCATCATATGATTAGGCACAGTAGATCACTATGGTTGCGGTGCAAGGGCCAAAAAGGCCCACCTCTTATACATTCATCATATAATAGGAGAAAAGGTAGAGGTAAAGCTGTCCTGGAGGCCCATAGGGTTGTGGGACATCAAGGCTCCCACATTTTCTAGGCAGTCGGCTTACAGATGGCAGTGAGGTTGTTAGCCTTAGGCACCGGCTGAGTCGACCCCGGGGCCATAATGCGAATGGAAGGATTAGGTAAATTAAAAAAATCCAATGATTTCATTGGGAATCAAACCTGCAACCTTCCAGTTTGTATCATAGGGTGTCAACGAACTACACTACAGCATGCCTCCTCCTTATGATAGGGCATAAGGAAACTGGTGACACTTTGGGATTACACCGCATTTTGGTTTCACTAGTAGAGACTGAACTTCCTACCCATATATAGTTTGTACAGGGTGGGGCGCAGAAACTTCCTTTTTGTGAAGACGCATTGTGAAGGGAGGGGAGGTTGCAGAAAAGTGGGGATAGGCTCAGCGAATGCAGCAGTCATGGAAGTTTCTGTCTAATACCACTCAGTAGGAAACATGAGATGGACGACTGAGCAGTGTGCGTTTGCTGTCGAAGGCTATTTTTTGAACAACCATTCTTACGTGGCGGTGCAGTGTGCTTTCCGTACTCACTTCGGAATTAAGCCCAGAGGTCTGGTTCCCGACCGGAAATCGATTTTTTTGTGGGTAGAGAACTTTAGGACAACCTGGAGTGTGGTGAAAAAATCATCAGGACGACAGCAGACCGTTATGACGCCAGAAAATGTGGAGGCAGTTCGACAGTCGATTTTGAGATCTCCAAGATGCTCCTCTCGCAAACATGCAGTCACCCTAGACATATCCAATCGTTCAATGTGCCGAATTCTTCACGAACATCTTCATTTCCATCCCTATAAGATCTTGTTCTGCAGGAATTGTCACCACGTGATTTCTAGAACTGAATAATGGCGTGTGAAATGTTATTGGAAACTTTACACCCTGACGCACTTGTTTTCTTTAGCGATTAGGCACATTTTCACCTATCTGGATACGTCAACAAGCAGAATATGTGCTATTGGAGTGGTAACAATCCCAGAGAGCTCCATGAGAGGCCACTTCACAGTGATAAGGTGACAGTATGGTGTGCGTTGTCGAGAGTTGGAGTTATTGGCCCTTATTTTTTTTGAAGAAGACAATCATGCAGTTACTGTCAATTCACAGCGGTATGTGGACAT